GTGTGTCCTGTGCTTATTACCACAGTTCAATAAGGATGTTGTTAAACTGAAGAGGGAAGAGAAAACCCGTGAGTGATTAAAGGATTAGAAAATCCTTATAATGCCTTATAAGGATAGATAAAGCCTCATCATTTTTTGTTTGTTGTTTTTTTGTTTTGCTTTTTGGGACTTTCTTATTTAATTTTATCAATTTCTCCCTACCCCCTGGGGGTTGGGTCTTGTCCCCGGAGAGGGATGGTAGGCTTGTATGGGTTGGGAGGTCAGGTCCTTCCTGGAAGGTTGAGAGGCTCAGGGGTGGTGAGGGTTGCTGAGCAGCCTGCCCTACAATTCGCCCTACAGTGGCAGTGCTTGCAGTATTGCCAACCTCAGCCGTTCAAAAATCATGAGTCAGGCTCACCAAAAATCATGAGATTGGCTTTAAAATCATGAGATTAAGTAAAAATACTAGATTTGGTGTTCTTTATTTGCCTTCTGCTTTTTGCGCCTTTTAAGGTGCACTGGAGTCACATTTTGAAGCTTTTTCACAGCCAAGAGGGCTAGAAACGTACCTTTTCTCTAAGAATGAAGGTTGAAATCTCACATATCCACTTGACTCCAGCAGCTGGAGCTTTAAGGAAAACAATAATTATCATGAGACTCGTGACAAAATCATGGAAGTTGGCAACACTGTGCTTGTGTTGTTCTCTGTTCCAGGTGTTGGGACCTGCTACATGGGTTTGCAGCACCGCTCTGGTTTGGTTCCACTACCCTTCTGCCATGATGATGAGGTGGGGAGGGCCAGTTTGAGCGAGTGGCTCTCCAATGTTGCGTGCCAGGTCACAACACCTGGGATGGGCAGCCAGGCCCAGTCCCATGGGACGGAGACTCTGCTGAATGGTGAGTCTTTCATTTTATTTGGTTCTGCATTTGTGATAAACACAGGGCTCCAGTGATAGACTCAAGGAGTTAAATCCATTTAGCTTAAGAAGAGAAGGTTAAGCCATGACTTGATTACAACCTATATGTACCTATCTTGATAATGAGCCCTTCAATCTCGCAGACAAAGATGTAACACGATCCAATGGTTGGAAGTTGAAGCTAGACAAATTTTGACTAGCAGTAAGGTATACATTTTTAACAGTGAGAGTAATTAACCATTGGAATAATTTACCAAGGATTGTGATGCATTCTCCATCACCGGCCATTTTAAAATCAAAATTGGATGTTTTTCTAAAAGGAAACATAATTTCTAGGAATTGTTTTAGGGCAGTTCTATGGAATCTATTAATCTGTTTTTTTTTTATTTAGACAAGAAACCAAAGATTGTCGTTTTGAGTCAATGGAAAAATGAAATTTTCTTCTCTTTTTTTTTTTTAATTTTATTTTCTTATTTTATTTTATTTTTTGTTTGGCCACAACCAAAAAATTAGTGATTTGCCCAGCTCTAGTTAGGAACGCAGCTGAGCTTGCTGAAAGCATTTTTCAAACACTTTCTCTTTCCAGCCTCCCTCATTTCCCATTTTAACTTTCGGGGGAGGGCTGCTTAGTTATTTTGTAGCCATGGACACATACCTCACAGTTTCAACAAAACTCCAAGAGAAGGTGGGAAAAACCACAGGATTAATATTTGTTTTGAGGAGGGAACGCTTAACTACTTTTCTCCATTTAAGCAGAATATCTAGAGTATTATAATAAAGAGTAGTCATGAACATGGGCGGTGGGTATCAAAGGCCAGGGGAGGCTAAGCCTCCCCTAACCTAGGCTGTGGCCTAGTCAGCGGCCTGGAGCTCAGGGCTCAGGCCAGGGGCTGGGACGGCTAGGAGCTCAGAGATCAGGCCAGCTGAGGCGGCTCGGGCCAGCCCAGCTCCTCCAGGCATGGGGAGAAGGGGTAGGGCCTCAGGCGGAAGGGGAGGGGCCGGGACTTGCCTCCCCGAAGGGGGGGGGTTCACTCACTGCCCATGGTCATGAAAATAAAAATCTAGGGTTCTAGTCTCCTCTGAGTATCAAGTGTTGTTTTCCTCTTGATCATTGAAATAATTGATTTTGCTAACAATGAAACATCTGCAGGTAAACGACAGTGCATGTTAATGATGTCCAGTTCAACTAGGGCATTGATGTGGGAAGCCAAGCTTAAAGTAGACTGGATCCAAGAGGGTCATGGCCATCCTTGCCTCCCTATGAGCTCAGCTACATTAAACCTGACAGATTCAATTCTCAGGGGCATTATGTTCGGTTCCATATTTGCTTTCAGTTTACATGGGTTTGCATTTACTTGAACTTTACTTCACTTCAAATTTGAACTTTACTTCACTTCACTTCACTTCACTTCACTTTGGGGGGAGGGATAGCTCAGTGGTTTGAGCATTGGCCTGCTAAACCCAGGGTTGTGAGTTCAATCATTGAGGGGGCCATTTAGGGATATGAGGCAAAAATCTAATTGGGGATTAGTCCTGCTTTGAGCAGGGTGTAGGACTAGATGATCTCCTGAGGTCCCTTCCAAGCCTGATATTCTATAATTCAAATATGTTCTAAGAATAAAATCAAATTTAATCAAAGCCTAGTTCTGTTTTCCCTGCATAAAATCAAAATATGAAACAGGGAATTTCTGGGTGAAACAGCTTGCATTAAAGTTGTAGCCTGTACTGGAACTGAAAGGAGAGAGATATTTCTGGAACTGGGTTTTTATAAATATTCGACCATCTCTAGTTACTTGCCTTTTATTGTCTTGTCTGTTGACAGCTGAAACTTAACCAGGAACAAGTGTTTCTAGATCAGCTAGGCTAACATTTACCAATTGCATGTATTAACTCAAGTTAATTGGCAATTAATTCAATTTACAACCCAACCAAAATTTCTAGACAGACCTTTACTCTGGCATCTTTTTGGTGTCTCTTGAGCTTCTGCATTCCTGTTTCCTCCTTTTCCCCATTCACCCTTAGTCTTTTCTATAATTCTCAAAATCCAAGCAACCGAGACACCATCAGTGTTTAATTCTGTGCAGTGCTTTCCCATGACACTCCAGGGTAGACGGGTTTTTATTTTTTTATAATAGTGACATTTTTTTCTGCTGAGGGACAATACAATCCATTGCTTACTAGCATCCATCTGTTGCACAGCATACAGCATCTGACATTGGGGCGGGTTTATGAATAGAGCACTGAGAGCAATTAGCATTTGAATTAAAACTACCTGTGGATAACAACAGGTGATTACCCTATTTAACAGCTGCTAAGTGGTGTTATTTGCCAGCTATAGACTACAGGCTGAGTGAATTGTATGCATACAAATGGGAGTGACTGTGCATACAAATAGAGCAAAATTAACTGGATATTTTTTAAAAATGCAGTTATGATATATGGGCATTCATTCTAAACATGCAGTCACTGGCAATGTGTTAGGTATATGAGGTATTTGGGGAACAACATATTCAATGTTAAAGTTTTTAAACATTTTGCAATCTAGCATTTTGTTCTTCAAGTCAAAGCTTGATGTCAACAACCATTTTAAAGTGATTCAGCTTACTGTGAACTGGGAAAACTGTAAGAACAAAGCACTTCGAGCAAAGCAAAGCAAAATAACCTACAATGTAGGCTTATCAATTGTGAGCCTTTTGGTGCCACAAGTACTCCTGTTCTTCTTTTTTTTAAAGTATGGTAGTATTACTGTTGTAGTTCACCCAGCCGCCTCTTCGCATATATAGCAAGAGGTAGCACGTTATTAACTCTCCTTCTGTAGAAGGAGGGTCTTTTTGAACATTTGCTTAGCATATGGATGTTCAACTTCCTTTTGAGTATATGCAGGTTCTGCCCAACGGTTCTGCTATCCTTGAACATTTTCCTTCTTGGTTGCACCAATTTTCATCAGCAACTTTTTCCTTTGCTCAAAATTGTCCTTTTTAATTTATTTGATACACAATTTTTAAAGTTTTTTTAAAAACAGATCCTATTCCGAAATCTATTCTAACTGATGGTTTCCTTAAATAGTCACTTACATTTTTAAAGTTGTTTTTGCTGGATGTGTGCAATGTCACTGTGATCAAATGGCTTCCTGAGCATGCTACAAACACAGTCCTCACAAGTGGAAACTGGTCAGGACTTATCCCTTTCCTGGAGAGTATTGCACCCATGGTCATATGATTCACACAATGTGGCATGCAACTTGCCCAGAGGGGAGACTGTGTTGCATGAGGGGAGATGTAATCCTGCCAGGGAAACCAGCCTATGTGAGCAAATGGGGGCACCAGGCACCTGAATTACAATTTCCATGAGGCAATGTGGCACCACAGGAAGATTCAGTTTAATATTGACCTGATTCAAAACCAAATATTTTGGATCATTTCAACAAACTGAAATATTTTTATATGGATCAAATTAACACAAAATAAAATGATTTGGTTTTTCTGATGGAAAATTGAAATATTTTGGCAAAATCAAAATTTCAGTTTTCTGGAAACTGCCGTTTCCATTGAAAACCATCTTCACCAGCTCTATTTTTGAGCAGATGCACTGCCTGCTTTTAGGGTGTGGTTTTCAGACAAACGCTGCTGGCCTCTTACAGTCAGTAAAACCATTAAATTATGTCAATCAGAACTTGGAGTTTTTAGGTATGAAGTACAAATACAGAGGAAAGAATAAAATACTAATAGCAGTTGACATATGTTCGTATAAGAACAGTGTTTATATAAATTCACATTAACATATTAGTATAGAAATATACTGTCTAATATCCTGCATCTCCTGGAGTTCAAAGTGATTAACATTAATTGTGCATGTGGAAAACTTAAACAGATTAGAATGAATGTGACTAATTTTAATATGTGATATGCAGTATCATTGTACCCATGTTGGTCTCAGGATATTAGAGAGACCAGGTGGGTGAGGAAATATCTTTTATTGGACCAACTTCAGTTGTTGAGAGACAAGCTTTCTCCAGTCCTGAAGAAGAGTTCTGTGTAAGCTCGAAAGTTTGTCTCTCTCCCAGAAGAAGTTGGTCCAACTACAAAAGCAGTTTCTCCTCCCTTGGTGTTCACACTTCAACTGCTAGAAGAGGGCCTCATCCTCCCTGATTGAACTAACCTCGTTATCTCCAGACTGATTCTTGCCTGCATATTTATACCTGCCTCTGGAAATTTCCATTACATGCGTCTGACGAAGTGGGTATTCACCCACGAAAGCTTATGCTCCAATACATCTGTTAGTCTATAAGGTGCCACAGGACTCTTTGTTACAGAAATGAGGAAGCAATTTAAACAGAAATGTAAAAGGAACAATCACACATGGGCGGTGTGTGAGCACCCCCTTCGGGGTGGTTAGTCAAGCAGTCCTGCCCCTTCCACCCAAGGCCCCACTTCTACTCCCCTTCCCCCCCGAGTCCAGAGGAGCCCCGGCTGAACTGCGCTGGTCTGCTGGCCAGCCCCAGCACTAGGCCGCTGGCCTCCGCTGGATCTGAGCTCCCTCCAGCTTGGGCACTGACTTGAGGGAAAGGGCGGAGCATGGGAATTTTAAGAGTAACTAGCAAAAGACACAAAAACTAACAGCAATTTTTCTTTTTAAGTACATCAGAAGTAAGAAGCCTGCCAAACAATTGGGACGGTCAGGGTGTTGAAGTAGCATTCAAGAAAGACAAGGCTATTCCGGAGAAGATAACTGCATGTTTTTGCATTCGTCTTCACTGCAGAGGATGTGAGGGAGATTCTCACACCTGAACTCTTCTTTTTTAGGTGACAAATCTCAGGAACTGTCCCAGAATAAGATGTCAATGGAGAATGTCATGGAACAAATTGATAAAGAGTAATAAGTCACTAGGACCTGATGGTATTCACCCAAGAGTTCTGAAGGAACTCAGATATGAAATTGCAGAATTATTAACTGTGGGATGTAACCTATTGCTTGAAACAACTTCTGTACCAGATGACTGTAGGATAGCTAATGTAATGCCAATTGAAACACACACACACAAAGGCTCCAGAGGCAATCCTGGCAATATTAGGCCAGTGAATCTAACTGCAGTACCAGGAAAACTGGTTGAAACTATAAAGAACAGAATTATCAGACACCTAGATGAACATATGTTGAGAAAGAGTTAACAATGCTTTTGTGAATGGAAATCATGCCTGTTAGAATTCTTTGAAGTGTCAACAAGTGTGTGGATAGGGGTTATTAAGTTGATATAGTGTATGTGGACTTTCAGGAAGCCTTTGATAAGGTCCCACAACACAGGCTCTTAAGCAAGGTAATCAGTCATGGGATAAGAGGAAACGTTCTGTCATGGATCAGTAACTGGTTAAAAAATAGGAAACAAAGGGTAGGAAAAAATGGCCAGTGTTCAAAATAGAGAGAGGTAAATCGAGGAGTCCCTGAAGGATCTGCACTGGGACTGGTGCTGTTCAACATATTAATAAATGATCGGGGAAAAGGGGTAAACAGTGAGGTGGCAAAGTTTGCAGAAAATACAAAATTACCTAAGATAGTTAAGTCCAAAGCTGACTTCAAAGAATTACAAAGCGATCTCACAAAACTAGGTGATTGGGCAAGAAAATGGTAGATGAAATTCGATGTTGATAAGTGGAAAGTAATGGATAGTTCTCTGAAAACGTGTGCTCAACGTGCAGCAGCAGCCAAAAAAGCAAACAGAATGTTAGGAATCATTAGGAAAGGGATAAATAAGATAGAACATATCAGAATGTCACTGTATAAATCCATGGTATGCATTGAATACTGCATTCAGTTCTGGTCGCGACACCTCAAAGTAGATGCATTAGAAATGGAAAAGGTGCAGAGTAGGGCAACAAAAATGGTTACGGGTATGGAACAGCTGCCATATGAGGAGAGATTAAAAGGACTGGGACTGTTCATTTTAGAAAAGAGATGACTAAGGGAGGATATGATAGAGGTCTATCAAATCATGAATTGTGTGGAGAAACTGAATAGGGAAGTGTTATTTATCCCTTCACATAACACAAGAATCAGGGGTCACCCAATGAAATTAATGTGCAGCAGCTTAAAACTAACATAAGGAAGTACTACTTCACACAACGCACCTATGGAACTCATTTCCAAGAGATGTTGTGAAGGTCAAAGATACAATTCTGTTCCAAAAAGAACTAGATAAGTTCATGGAGGATAGGTCCATCAATGGCTATTAGCCAAGATGGTCAGGGATGCAATTCAATTATTTGACTGTCAAACTGGGACTGGATAACAAGGGGGTGGATCACTTGATAACTGCCCTGTTCTGTTCATTCCCTCGGAAGCATCCGGCACTGGCCACTGTCGGAATACAGGATACTTGGTTAGATGGACCATTGGTCTGACCCAGTATGGTTGTTCTTATAACATCCACTTTACAACATGAAGAAAAATGTAATACATTTTATTTATCTTGTACATTTGATCAACTTGTGTACCTTCTATCTGCCGATTCATCTCTGCAGGACTATTTCTTATTTCAACCCCATTACCCAACAGCTGCCTTTTAAAAAAATAACTAGCCAGGGAAATATTTTCTTCTTCCTCCCTCTCCTACTCCATCAAAAAGAGCTGGTTTGATGTGCTGTAAGAACAATATTCTATTCTTGACCAGTGACACATTTCAGGTCCAATATTTCACCAATCACCAGGACTTGACATAAGTGATTTAAATGTTACTGAAGAGCTGAGTCGCTCTTCTTTCCAGGAGGATAAGGCATTTGTTTATACAGAGATTGAGATACTGAAATTTTATATTCACTATATTTTAAAGAACCTATTTTAGATCATTCTTAGAGGTGTATATATGTGACTTTAATACTGTGAATATTAGTAGCTCTTCTGGAGATTGTAGTTCATAAGAACTATGTGTTCATGTGAACTACAAACACGCATTTGATATTTGATTCACAAGCTTACATTTCACTTAATCATTACAATATACGATAACCTGCTGTGCAGTTTAATGCCAATATTTTGATTTGCTTGGCAGTTATTATTATTTTTTTTTGCAGTGAAACACTGATTCATCATAAATAGATCTTAGAAAATGCAAATACATCCTTATTAGAGTTACCAACATATTAATATATGAAAGACATATGGCATTTTTGACGCTTTATTAGTGCTGCAGCTCATTTTTGTGTTTGTTGTGGCATGAAAACCTAACAAAGCATTAATAGCAACTTCCCTGATTTAATTAAGCTCCTGCACTGTAATGCCAGAGCTACTGATAGAATAACCATTTAATAACACTGTAATGAACATTCAACTATCACAGCTTTGGAAGGTTTAATGTGGTGGTTTAAAACAACATTATTTTTTCTCATAGTTGTTCTTGAGCTATATTTAATACCAGTCTCACTTCTGCTTACCTGTATCTAACACTAAAGAGAGAAGACTATAAAAGCGAAAGCTTTCCTTATTTAAAATGTAAAACAGCCGTATTAAAATAAAACAATCAGCCTCCCTAAGTAAAAAGTAATAAGCCTTCAAATAGTGTTTTTCACACAATACAGATACAGAAGAATTAATGCTGAAACTAAACTAAAGGTGAATAACCTACAGCAAATGCATCATGCTAAAGGGATATGACACATTCCTTTTAGAACAGGGCCAGACTAAAACAACTGACCTGTTTGGATACAACTGGGTACCTGATCTGATTATGTGGATTATGCAAAAGTATTAGACCACAACTTTCTCTGTTATAGTAAAACTTCCCCATGTGGCACACCAATTATCAATATATACGGCTACACATTATATCTCAAATCTAAGGACATAGAGGAAATAAGACAAAATATCGGCCAACCAAATGCTGGGACAACCAGAGAAAGCGCTCTCTAGAATAAATCAGCTTTTTACTGAGAGACGTATTTTAAAAAAAAACGTGGGGAGAAGATTAGGACTGAACTGGGAAACAGCATAACAACAACTGTTCTATGGAGGAATAAAAAACCATGCCATAAATGTAATGCATAGATATCTTGTATTTCATAGCTTACCCTGAAAATATATAGGATTTTTGATTTTAGGTTTTAAGTGATAACCCTAAATGCAAACAAACAATAAACAGTATTTATCCAATAAACCTCTACACATTCACTAAGTTCATTTGGACTTCATTACTTTGGTAGTGTGATGTCCCTTCTCCCTGGTTTCTATCTAAAGGCTTGACTACATGGAGCAGCAATGGGAACCCTGGTGGTGTGATTTCTGAAGAGCACAAATGTCTTGCACATTTATTGGGCCATGTAGACCCTGCTGGTGACTTAAAGGGTCCCTAGTGCACTTAACATAGTGCTGTTTCGAAACAGCACTATGGGTGTATATAAAGAGAGAGCCCTGAAAACTCCTGTGTTTTGGACATCTACATAGAACTCAAAAAATTGCTAAAAATAAACCCTGAAAAAATGAAGTTAATAAATCCTCCAAAACAGAAGTTCTAAATATATACAACCCCTGTATGTTGTTCCCATATCAATCACTTGTGAACAACAACTGCCAAAATGGTAAAGGCCAAAAAAAATTAAAAATTCTAGAACTTTCCTATAAGTACTAACATACATGGGAAGGCCAGAAAGGAAGGGTATATCAGGAAAAAATCCTTAAAGACCGCTGTAAGAATGTGAGGGTGTCTGAAATCCAATAAGTCTTGTAATTTACATCTCCTACACATCACCTCCAAATTTGGGTCTGTATATGTTTGTATAGTGTAATCTGTATCTTTGAGTGTGTACACACATGAAATGGGCTGCTTATTAAATAGACCTCCGGTTAATAACACTTCAAATGTACGTATGTATTTTTACTGTGCTGACCATTTAAATTTATATAGTGAATACACCTTACATTTCAGGTTCTCATTACCCAGCTGGGGGCTGTGGACTGTGTTTAACACATCCTCAATCTTAGTGGTCTCATGACACGGTGTCCTTGCTATGGATTCCCATCAGATGGAACAATTTAATCTGTGAAGTCCCAATAAGTTTTTGTGTGTGGAGGTGTCTGGGTATTTTCTGTTGGCTGTCCATCTAGAATGTCTCCGATTCTTGTCAGGTAGGTCAATTTCTGTTTCTCATTCAAGCTTGTCAAATTTTGTTTTGGAAAATAGCTCTTGGATAATATTTGCATCCTGCTGCTCTTTGGTTATACTTTCAAAAGCACTTGTAGTAGTATGTCCAGTGTACACTTGTTCCTGCAAGGTGCTGAGCTCACGGAGCCTGATTCAGCAGAACAATTAAGTTTAATGACTGCAGTGGGATTACTCATGTTCATATTTACCCATGTGCTTTAATTTTTTGCTGCATTGGGCTCAGTGGTTCAGCACTCTCCAGGATAGAGCCCAGTAGGTACTCAACTACTGCAGTGATGAGAGTTAATATAGAACCTTTTGATAAGATAAGCTCATTACTGAGATTGTTTCACAGTTAACTAGTCGTCTTGTGATTGCTTGATCATTTCCCACTGCAGGATTGAAGTAAATGGATCAATAACCATAGGAAGCCAGTGACAAAGTTCCTATTGACCTCAATGATGCAGGATCAGAACCCCAATGATTAAAGTCTTAGTTTGTTAAACTAGTTTGGCCTTACCTCATTTTTTCAGCTACCTATGAAACATTTCCCGTTGATACGCCTGCAGAACTTAATTTTAATGATACATGGACATCGGTGGGACAACGCAGTGCTGTAAACCAAACATACATATTTAGGGTTGAGGGGCATAAACAAATGCAGGATCAACCATCCTGTGTGCAGTATATTTCAAAAATACAATTATACTGTGATGGGGTTTACAAGACCCATGCTGGACAAAACTTTAATGAGAACTTCTGGGCTCAATCAGCCTTGCCCTGCTACACCTGCAATAGGTGTCAGGCCTGGGGGAAGGAGTTAAAAAGGAAGAACTGTCTCAGTTAGTGGCTCACTGAGGAAAGCAGATCTTTAGCTTTTACTTGGTGAGAATAGCCTGGCTGGAGTTAGGAAGCTGACTTGGGCTGCTGCTGGTCAAGGCCTCCCTGAGGGAAAGAGGGCTGCATTTGAGTTCATTTGCAATGCCTCATCTGTTGGTGCTGAGGGAGACTGGTGCCTGTTAGAAACTCTTTGATGGAAGATTGGCCTGTAGCAGGGACTCTAGATGAGCATTAGCTAGAAAAGACAGTCTCTCAGTAGAAAGGTAGTGTCTAGATGTGGATTGGGATGGATTAGACTCCTTTTTGATTTTGTTATATTTGTTTTGGAACTTTGATAATCCTGAAGGTGAAAAACCTTGGGGTGATTTAACCAGAGGGCTTAGTCACTTCAGCAGTAGACCATGTTGGAGATGGTTGAAGACTTTGAGGGAAACTGAAGCAGGGTAAGTGTCATGGTTGGCGAGAAGGGGTGCTGTAGAGGCCAACCCTGCTACATATACAAAAATCATTAACATCTGTTGTAATTGTTTTCTAACTTGTCTGAATTGGCCTTGTTCACATGCAGTGTGAGTTTTTGTTTAACACTATCGTGCAGGATGGGGGCGGGCTGTGTGTGTGTATGTGGGGATCTTTGACACTTGAACTCTTCCGGGTCCACTGTTTGGGTCAAATCTAATCCACGTAGCTGGTACACGTAGTGTTCACAGTTGAAACCTCCCAGCATCCTTAAACCTGCAGATTTGTGGTTCACTGACTACCTGAATGAATTATTTTCAATTAATTTGGCACATCTTCAGAGGAACAGATGGCTTCATGTTTACTGCAAAAACAGTAACAAATAAACAAAAACAAAAAATCATCCATGAATCTCCCTGGAAATTCTTCAAATATAAGAGAGATCTTGATGATTGTCTTACAGTTCCTACTGAATTATCTTAAGAAAAGGAGTGTTTAACAAGAAAATAACATGTATCATTTACTAAGCAAAGTATCATATACACGGAGCAGTTGGCTGCATAATAAAGCTGTTATGCATGAAGTTTCTAATAGGACTTCCCCTAGAGTCTAGCAGCTGGGAAGAGAGAAATTAGGGAAATGTGATGTTGAGTGACTTGAGGAAAGAAAAGCTTAAAAAATAAACAAACAGTAAAGAAACAGAACACAAGGAGAAAAAATAGCTAAGCTCAGAGAAAGCCCAAGTAATGTGACTGGGAGCACGCATCAGAAGGTTCATATGTTTAATCGTCAAAGTACAAATATGGAAACAAAACTTACCCAAAATACCACTGGCCAAAACGGTTTCCATTGAAATGTTGTTTTCTGTGGAAAATGACTCTTACAGCTTCCACATTCTGGTAGCATTTGTTATAGTTGGGTATTTTATTTTTCTCTTAGTATATCTTTGGGAAGGTATACCATTGAAGTTGCTGTTTAATTGCTAATATTTTAGGGAAGAGAAACAGAATATTGATGGTACAAATTATTTTCTCATTTAAGCAATAAAAAAGGAGGATTTTAGATATACAAGAGAAATGAGAATTGGAGTCAAAGCAATAAACATTCATAACATTAAGTGTAACACTGTTCTGCAAGTTATATCTGGTTTATATCACATAGGTAACATTTACAGTTGAGAGAGAGAGAGAGAGAGAGACCTCTGCTTTTAGATCCTCTGCTCTTAGAGGATTTCTGGTGTGGACAATGTATGAGGGAATGATACTTTTTACTTCCTCTAGGAAGCTTTTCAGTGATAACCCTCCAAATATAGGAGCCAACTCCAACAGCCTTACTTAGTCAAAGTCCCATTGACTCTATTTGATTTCCTCCCCACCCCCAAAGTAAGGACTGTATAAAGGCCCCAGGATTTGGTGTTATATTTGGGGAATAGAAAATTCTTATGGAAGTGCAGCTCCTCAGATAATTTCCTACCTAGTTATCTTCTGTAAGTGCAGTGCCAAGTTCAATTTTCCATCTTCTCTTAACATTGATTTATTGTTGTGACAGTGGTCTATGAAAGAGATGTCTGCATATGGAAATAGTTAATAGATGAGGTGCCAGTAAATGGTGTTCAAAAATATGCAGCAATCTTCCTGGTTTTGGCCCTACAAAAACCCACTTGGTACTGTGAATGGCTTCTTGTCAGTAGTTCTTTATATGGAGCTCTGAGTCAATTGTGTCACAGATCATACTCAGTGTTATGGAGAGTTAAGCAGTCAACATCACTGTCAGAAGGTGAGCTGGGCCTGTAAGCCTCCATTCTGACCTGTGCTTGAATCAGGTGACCAAAAGACAAGTGACAGAAATCTGGATGAGGCCCCTGATATATGAGGGGCTGACTATTCTTTTCCACAGAGGAAGGTAGACCGGTGTATGGTCTCTCCATGGCACCTTGCAGCTGGGCAGCTAACATTTGGGGAAAAGCAGTTGCCCAGGGGAGCCAAAACAACTATTGGGCTTAAGCAATGGAAGAAATGGGAAAAGTCTGTGAACCTAAAAAGTCAGGTAGCAAATAGGTGCAGGACGGATAGAAGAGAGGAAGTAGATGGCCACTCCGCTGTATAGGGCCTGGGGCTTGAACACTGGATTGAGGTGTCGACTGTGCTCCCCTATATCTCAGCAGTGCCAACAGGAGGTGGAGTAAAGCTTTTGAGCTCCAGAGGCAAAAAAAACTAAGATTGATGGGGTGGAGAGGATGGACTGTGTGTGAGGCTCTGTTGCAAGAGGAAGGGACAACAGAAAATGGAGGTGAAGTGGCAGACTAAGATGTGTAGTGTTTAGCAGTTTGCCATGTCTCCATGGAGACAGTGGTCTTCTTTCCTATGAGTGTAAACAGGGAGTAACTCTAAAGGAAAGGAGATAATGACACCAGCCCTTGTTGTAAAGTGCCTTGAGAACTACTAATGGAAAGTACTAGATAAGAGTGAGGTATTCATTATTACTGCTCCAGTGGTATCAAACCAGTCTGAGCAAGAGCAGCATCAAGTCCAATGTGAAAAATGTCAGCACCATGTTTTGCTGCCTCTGATGCAACTATTGGAATGCTGTAACAATGCTGTTTCAGGGTGAGCGTACACATTGAATCAATCCAACCAGGGTACCGCAAGCTGTGCACATGTATGTTGTGTTGAGTGAGTCCGGCATTAAGAACATCTTTTATCTTCCGTACTGCAGGGAGGTGGGCTAGTGCTTAAAATTAAAACCATAGTAAAGAATGTCATTCTAATAGTGCCCACAACTGCTGGTATTTTAATGTTGTGTCAGCATTTTTGTAATAAACTCATACTTTCAACGATTTATAACTCAATCATAAAAATTTGCAGTGGGCTGAATTTTGGCAAGCAAGGCTGTTTACTGAAAATTGAAGGGCTCCCACAGTTCAGGGGGATGCAGTCACAGGCTCTTTATTCCAACAGAGAAATAATTCTAAAGTAGTGCTGGGCGAATAACTGATCTTTTGATTTGGTGGCTGAACCAAACCGCGCCCCGTCTACCCCAAATGTCATTGTAAGTTGATTGAAACTTTTCATTTGACCGGAAATGAAATTGTTGGTGGTTTTCAGTTTAATCCAGCTAAATTTCAAAGCAAAATGTCATTTCAAAACAAAAAGTCAAAATGTTTCATTTCGAAAATGTCAAAATGAAACATTATAGTTTTGGAAAATATATATTTTTGGCCAAAATTATTTGCCATATTTGCCCCATATTCCCCAGCAGCTTAGTTGACCCCAAATTGCAATTTTTGTCAAATAGTTTATTCACTGAAAAAGTTTTGCCCAGTTCTATTCTAAAGCAATATGGGTTATTTGACCAGTGAACTTGTATAATACAGGAGGAGGTTAGGAGCCAGATCATGACCTTCTGACTCACACCAAGTAGAGCTTTTTCTCTAAGAGCCATCCCACTGAAATCAGTGAAGCCCCTGAATTCAGAATTTGCATGTTGGTTTATCTCTGATGCTTATATGGCCCTATAATGGGATGACCTGCCCCTTTAAAGGCCTGGGGCAAGCCAACCCTGTTAATTATCAGAGCCAGCTGAAAAAAAGCCAACACATGTCTCAGTTGAGTGTGGAGTCAAGTTGTGAGAAGGGAGAGTTTCCTGCTGTGGGTCCCTGAGGATTGACTTCAGGTGGGAAACCCTCGGA